TCAGCGTTCAACTGGAATACGAGGCAAGCAGGATCAGCCTTATAAAACCAGCCAGTCTGACAGATGGGTGACACGGAACGTGGGTGCAAGGTCAGTGAGGGGAAGGGAAATCTTCAGTAAGGTTATGCTAGTGCTAGTTGTTTGTATTTTTAGACTACATAGAAGGAGCAAGTAGGGTACAACTGAGATTATTTTCCCAACAAGGTATTTCTTTGTAGTAACTGAAGAAAAATATACCCTCTCTCTCATAGAGAACCTATTTCTTCTTGCTTTTTCTCGTTAGCGTTCACACCAGCTGTGCTATTTCCCATCCTCAAATCGTCTCCTTCCATTCCTCCCTCCCTTTCTCCGTTTCTCTCTCTCTCCCCCTCTGTCTCCCCGCCCCTCTCTCTCTGTCTCCCCCTCCTCTCTCTCTTTTTCCCTCCCTCTTTTCTAATCTCCTCCATTTTCACTGCTCCCAGGCTGCCACCGTCTCTCACCTGGGTTTCTGTCCCACAGTGACCACTCAGTATTCCCGAGTCTGAGCTTGCCCTCCCCCACCCGCACCAAGTTCATTTCCCACGTAGCAAAGTGATATATTTAATAGGAAATCAGATCATGCCACCAACCCCCCTGCCCCAGCCCCTTATAAGTTTTCAATGTTCTTTTATTGCACTTAGAATAAAATTCGGACTTCTCACCAAGGTCTGTAAAGCCCTCGAGGATCTGGCCTCGGCTTTTTCAACATCATCTTCGATTAATCTCCTCCGTGCTCACTTCAGTCCGTTCCCTGGCGGCTGCTTTCTGAAGATTAAACCAAACCATTTTAGGATTTCCCATTTGCTGTTCTGTTTGTTTGGCACACTGCTCCCCTATCTTTATATATCAGCACCTTTTATCACAATATACATACAATTATTTTTTATAATTTATAGCTTGATTTTGCCTGCTATAATAATAACAGATTCCCTTTACATAGCACTCGATATGAATTAGGAACTAAGTTTAAGAACTATATATTAATGTCAATATATTAATTTTAAATTGGATTACTTCTTTATAATTTAATTCTAACAACACTCTGTAAGGTAGCACTATTACTGTCCCCATTTTACAGGTGAGGAAACTGAGCACATAGAAATTAAGAGAAAATAATTTGCCTAAGATCGCAGAGTGAGTAATTAATTGACGGTGACAGAATTTCAATTTGGTTTCAGAGCCTTTGTTCTTAATTGGCCTCTCAGTGATGCTCGTAGTATATGAAATGTTTCTCTGATTATACAGCACGTAGTGGATATGCGCTTTCAGAAGTTATATTAGTCTACTAGGACTGCCACAACAAAATACCACTAGAGAGCTTCAAAGACTGGATGGTTTAAACAATAAAAATTTTATTTTCTCACAGTTCTGGAGGCTGGAAGATCATGGTGCCCAAAGGGCTGGTTTCTTCCTGAGGCCTCCCAACTTGGCTTGCACATGCTAGCCTTCTTACTGGGTCCTGACATGACCTGTTCTCTGTGTGTCTGCACTCCTTGTGTCTCTTCTTCTTATAAGGACACCAGTCTAATAACCTTATTTAGACCAAATCTAATAACCTCATTTAACTTTACCCCTTAAGGCTCTATTTCCAAATACAGTCACATTGATGATTAGGGAGATTTAATTGGTGATTAAAATTTGGGGGGGGGGGAACATAATTCATTCATAAAGGAAGAATTATTTAATGCTAACCTACACAAATATATGTAATACTTAAATATCTTTCTTAGCAAATTATATCCTCCTCTTTCACAAGGCCTTTTAAAATACTTAAACAAAAAAAAGGAAATATGCTTATGTGGAATAGGACTCATTAATTAATTATTTTGTAACAACTATAAGAGTATGATTTCATTTCCTTCTAAATATGCTCTATTTACATAAACCACTTTAAGCCTAATATTTGCTATTTTTTAAAATTTCAACTGAATAATTGTATGTGCTAATTATAGCAAGATGAGTTTCTTTGTGAATGCTGCTTGCAATCCTTGAACTTTACCCTATAGAATTTCTTTTAAAGTGTGCAGTATTCTAGGATGGGGTTTTTATCCCAATTTTTTACAAGAAGAAAATGGTTTCATTAAAGGGATCATGTCAATGATGGAACAATTATTTCAATGAAAATAATTTAAACTAAATAGCAGTTTTTATTTTGCCAAGGTCAGAGTTTAGCTATCAGAAACACAGTGAATGTATTCACAGCAGATTCCCTTAGTAGATATTTTCTTTGGGTAGGAAATAGAATGAAGCCAAATTTACCAAAGCAAATTCATTTTATGCAGTAAATATGGTGTTGTATTTTTGGTACAGAACCTTATTCTAATCAATTTGTCTTCTCATGGTCAATAATAATTTTTATGATAATATCTTAAAGATACAGCAAGGCTACCATATTTTCCCCTTCAGAATTAAGAAATAACTAAAAAATAGCCATAGGGGATGACTGATGGGAACGAATATATCAGACTTTTGGCTGATAAAAACTATTGTTGAATGTGTTTTGATGTGTGCCCCCAATAAGCTTTGTAAAAATCTCACTCCTTAATTCTTAAACACAAAGCCACAAAGAGAGAGAGACAACTGACAGCCTCCCCAACAGAGAAACACGGCAGGGAACAAGCAGGCCAGAATTGACTCTGTAGTGAGGCAGACGTGAGAGAGGAAGGAAATAGCTCTGGACTCAGCAACTCCTTCCAACCTAAATCAGGAAGATAACTCATTCCTGTCCTGAGGAAAAGCCAGTGAGGGGTGAGGGAAGAAACCAGCAGTGGTCACTTCTGATTCTGATGTTCTCCATGTCTTGATATAAACCATATAAAATTTGTGAATTGAGCACATTAGCAAAACATTTGCTCCAATTCCTGTTGTTCATAGCAAAATTAAAATCTTCAGTATCTTATAATCTTATATCTACTGTTGGAAATTTCTGCTATCTAGACAATTTTTACGTTTTTAACAGGCAAACCAAGTCACCAATAAATTTTGGCTTAATTCCAGAACTGAAAATGAGTTCAACACTTGTTAGTAATCAGGAAGGGAAGTTGGGTATCTGTGTTCACTGAGAAGTTGTCTGGTGGAACTGCTTTCCTTGTGTGACAGTTCTATGATGCCTCTGTTTACATAAGAAACTGAGTTGTACAAAGCCAAATGGAAAGGAGATTTTCTAGGAGACCTGTTGTATTTCACAATATGATGATTTAGTCTTCACAATGCGCTGTCCATCTCTGTTCCTTTGCATAGCAGCTGTGGAAATTCACACAAGGGAAAAATTTCTCGAAAAGCACACATGAATCAAAATTGCCTTTTATATAGAGAAATAATCTTGATAAGCTCTTGGCAGTGCACTATGCTTTCAACTGGAATCATTTCTTATTTGGAGTAAGCATCATCATATACTCATTGGAATTCTAAGCTCCAGCAGGTTGAGTTAGCCGTCTACTCTTAGTAATGATTGCAAGATTTAGCAAATGAAAATACAGGTCTCCCAGTGGAATTTGAATTTCAGATAAACAACAAATAATTTTTTTTAGTATAAGTATGTCACACGCAATAGTTGGAACATATTTATGCTTAAAAATTGTAGTTGTTTATTTCAAATTCATATTTCACTGGGCATTCTCTAATTTGCCAGACAACCCTAACCCTAACCCTAAATTGGAGGGTGCAACTGAACTGTAGTTTGAATATTAATTTGATGGGGCTATGATTATAATAGTCTTACTGGCAGATTCACAGTGGTTTCAATTATCCTGCAGTTTATCTGCCTTATAAGATAAATTTCCAAAGTCTATAAATTTTTTAATTTAAAAATAGGGTATATCTGAATATCAACTTGAAATACCATAACTGAAATTATTTTTTAATATTAACTTATATTTTATGAAAATAATATATATTCTAGTCAGCAAATTGTTTATCAGGGTCATCTATGTTGGCCTTAAAAAGTCTTTATTTTAATTTAATGCAGTAATTTGAATATTGATATATCTCTACTGGTATGAAGTTTAGTCTTAGATTTTGGATCAAAGTGCAAAGCTTAGTATTTCTTTTAGGAGTCACATTTCTCTGCAACTGATGAGACTAAAAGGAATACTGTGGCTGTAGAGCAGGATTTTTAAGAGTGTCATCACAGGCTAAAAACTTTATCCTTGGGAGAAATTACGTTTATTGTAGTATGTGTCCACATTGCTTTACATTTACATCTTATGATAACCTTGAAATCTAGAAAACTGAGAACCTATACCTGTTTGCTTTTTTTTAACTGTCCTATATATTACCAAATCAGCTTTCTATCCTTATAGCCTGAAGATGTCTTCAGAAAGAATTAGTCAAATTAAAAGGCATAGCCTTTTATATAAATATATATATATATATATATATATAGTAGAAAAAAAATGATTCAGAGGCATCCTTCCTTTAGAACTTATGGTTAAATTCTCTTCCAAAGGTTTCTTTGCATTCTGCAAAAGCAGTAGGGTGATTTATATCAGATGTATCATGAAATAAAGATCTTCAAGCTTCTTAGACACATTTCTATCATGTTTACTAAACACAATGTAATTAGATGATTTTTCAAAGAATTCACAATATGAATATCCCTCTCTGGGATTGCTGTCCATAACCCTAATTATTTTTTGTAATTGATAAGGCATAAAAACTCAAGTCAACATCTTGTCCAGCTTTTTCTTTAATAGAAATACATTTTTCAGCATAATAGCTTGAAGAGTAGACTGACTGGTTGTTCTAAACAGAATTAGATACTTTATTTTTATCATCTATTGGAACAAAAAATGGGTACATGTCGGATGTTTCCAATGACTGTAATTTGAAAATAGCTAGACTTATGTTCCCAATCAGGCTGTGAGCAAAACTTTGGCAAGTTCTTGTTGACAGCTATATAGTTTGAACATAAGCTGCTCTACAATAATTCCTGTAATTTTCTGTAAGTAGCATAACAAACTTGGCATTTATTTATCTTCTGGATGAAATGAATGATCATCAAAGTACCCTCTCCTACATCCTGATTAACCCATCTCCAGATACCAGACTAGAGCTGAATGATGTTGTGTAAGTTGATCTCATACCTCACATAAGTCATGTATTTTTAGAAAACTACCAATTTCTTTTTATATTTTTATTTCTGACATTCTAGCCCTTTTTTGTGATATAAATGTTTAGGAGCGCAAAGACTAATGTTTTTTCAGTAAACAAATGCATTTAATGTGTTGCTGTGTGCAGTACTATAAAAATTGTAGGATTGTTTAAAAGAAAGGGTATAAAAATAAGGAAATATCAACATGAATTCTGTATTCTGACAGCTAATATATATTTGCAGAAATAAGAAAAAACATAAATAATAAGAGAACAACTCAAAGTAAATCTTGAAATATCCCACACTATCTACTTCTAAATAACTTAAATTTCCTAAAAGAATAAAATAGGCCAAAACACTTATTAGGAAAAGATCTCTGGGAGTAATTTAAGTCATTGAAAAATATGTATGAGGGTGCTTCACAAAGTTCATGAAAAAATAGATTTGAAACATCATATGAATCTTGTCATGAACTTTTTCAGGTACGCTTGTACTGTGAATGTGTAATTGTAATTGCACTGCTTTAAATGTGGTATAGAGATGACTAAGACATTTTCCCTGACTTCAAAGTACTTAAATTCTAATTAACAGAACTATAATTTGAGCATGGGAAAGTTTAGTAGCAATATATAACATGACTTTGTCACTAATAAACAGCCTCAATTGAGTGAGATAGATGATGCTTTTCTAAACTCAAGGAGGAAGACATTATTGAGAGTTGGAGTGATTACGAAGGATGCTATAATTATACAACTAGACTCTAAAGGGTAGACAGGATTTGTATTGGTGGAGAGCAATGGACATTCCAGAATGGGGAAAATGGCTTGAGAAAATGCATGCTGTGGAATTGCATAAAATGTTTCAGTTGGCAGTTTGTCCAGTATAGAAGCTTTGTATTTTTAGCATTTCTCTTGTTAAGTAGTTAAACATAATATCAGAAACGTAAGTTAGACCTGACTCTGGAATGGGCTTTATATGATGAAATAGAGTTTAAACTCAACCTTATAGGTGATGGCAGCACTTTAATATATATTAAGCAAGAAAGTAGCAAGATTTTAGAAAAGGCACTTCGGGGAAGTAGAAAGAAATTCCTAAGGAGAATCTATTCTTGAGCTACTTGATCTTGTCCTGAACTTGATCAAGAGATGCTTACCCAAGGTAGCTAACTCCAGATTGTATTAGTGATGTGAAACAAATGCCAAAGATACAAAAGTATTGGTAGGTGTTAAGTCCACAAGACGTGTTTTTATCTGTAATCAGGAAAACAAATAAGGTCAGAGACTAGCAGAAGTAAGACTATTTTGTGATGCACTGAATAAATGGATCCATGCAAGTGGCTTAGAAGTGAAGCTAGTAAACTGCAAAGAATCAGAAGACTACTTTTATATGTTGCCAGTTTTGTGAGCAATTTTGGCTGGGGTGGAAACAGTATTATTCTTTTTAAAGGAGTTCTACAGGAAGCAATAGGACTGATTGGCAGGATGAATTAAGATTGGGATGGGTCTGAAAGTCAGGTAACCAGTTAAAAAGCAGGTGTGAGAGAGATAAGAATTTGTCATAGCATCAAGATAGTGGTTTGTAAAGGCAGGTTCATATGTAAATATATTTATGAAGGCAAACAGTGAGGCTTGGTCATTGACTTGGAAATTGGAGTCTAACATAGCTTTAAGGTTTCAAATCTGTGTGATTACAAAAAAACATGTTGTTTCATCAGAACAAGTCAGAATGGAGAGAAAAATTTTCAAACTGAAAAGAGGGGTTGTTGGCTGGGAAAAAGTGAGATGGTTGGCTAAGTCCAGATATATTCTCTAATTGGCTAAGTCCAGATATATTCTCTAATTGGCTAAGTCCAGATATATTCTCTAAAGTGCCAAGTGGAAATGTCTAGAAAGCATGGACATGTATGGCAGTACTGGAGATTTGAAGGTAAGCTAGTTATGTATAAAAAATATTTAGTTTTCATCTTCTAGATGAAGAAAACTAAAAAGAGAATGATTTTTCCCAAGAGATGCATAAAGAGGAAAACGTAGAAGAATGAATACTGGACTGTTGAATAATGTTTGGTTTTATGGCAGAAAGAGGAATGAGTTTCAAATACTTGATAGTGAAATACAACAGCAGGACTAACTGAACCTAAGATACAATTAGCAAGGACAATAATGTTCTATTTTACCATCAGATGACACTGGTTAGGACACAGGAGCTTTGAGAAATCAGATGAATAACAATTTAAACTACTAGAGTTCATAAGGCACTGCCAAAAATAATATCCAAGGACGTTGTTGAATTTACAGAGGACATTAAATAAGAGAAAAACATCATATTAATGATGTGCCTGGCTTTCAACTACCCACCCAAGAGCCTTCACTTAATACATTACTATAATAAAACAAAACTGCCCTTTTTTCTCTAGCATCCATTTCTATACATGTCTTCTTTCCTTTAAACCCATAAATTCAGGGAATTTTTATTAATTCTCCATTTTATGCCTTTTAATCCCAACTTTCTCATACCTCTTTTTCAATTAATTATAATTGTATTAATTACATAGAGTTTGCAAGTTATGCTTAATGTATTTGTGTTTCATAATAAATTGTAAGTTTCTTGAGCCTAATGGAATTATTTCCCATATTTTTGACAAACTGTTAAAGAACACGTTGTTAATCTTCTGAGTCTATGAACATGTCTTTCATCAAATATATATGTTTATAGTTTGAAATAATTTCCAAAACTTTTTAACTTATAAATAACATATGCATGTTACTATGTATACAGGTATTTTCAGAGACCTTTTGGACACTCTCCTTTTATTGGTTTTAAGCTAAAACAGCAGCTTGACTACTATTAAAAAAAAAATAAAAACCTTTGCTCACATCATTACAATGATCTGTTGTGGCACTGAAATAATTAAGTTTTAGTAGAACTGGAACTATGATAAAGCACCATGAAAAAAATGTCTACCGTGGCAAGTAGTGTATAAAAACACAGTTTAAGAAATTTGCTTTATTGAACTCATAGGTTTAGTAGTGTTAACCATAGAAAAAGGAGCTTTTGTCAGTACAGCAATGAATTTAGGGGATATGGACTGTACTCGTACCTTATATGCTTTTCTAAAAATTCACTTTCAAACGCTTATTCTAAATGAAGGGGAAGCATTAATTTGAGTCAGAGAACAATAAGTCACTAGATGATATCACGTTAAAACGCTAAATGTGCGCTATTAGTTTTCTTCATCGATCTGCAATGCTAATGATATTTAAAGTAATTATAAAGCAGTGTTCATGGATAACAAGATCCAGTTAATATATCCAAGAACACTAATCTCAACTTTTATTTGATTGAGAAAAAAAGCAGAGTGCAGTGCTTTCAATTGCCTCTTCTCATTTTCATTAAGGGGTATATTTTGTGAATATTTTCTCTTCAGTTTTTAAGAGAAGTACACTCGTCACTAGAGTCCTCACTTTTAGATTAGTTTCTCTGTTCATTTTTGCACCTCTTTCTGAAATTATTATAGAAGTATGAAATACTACTTTCATTCGCACCTGGCACAATACTTTCTTAGAGTGATGCATTGTGTATATTTACCTCTCTCCCTCCAAATCCTCAGTAACTTTCCACTGCTTTTAGAAAAGAAATAATTTTAATTTTCAGGATAAGTCCTGAAAATTAAGGACCTCAATTAGCTGTTTCCTACCTTTCTTTCTGACTTTACCTGCCACAACTTCCTGGTGTGACCGGTCTTCTAAAGTCAAACTCATTTTCTAAGCACATCAGGAACAGCCTCCTCTGAGTTCCCCCTTGTCTGAGTTTGGGGTGACCCCGGCTCCCCTCCTTTCAAGCCTGGAGAGACAAGTTCAAGCCAACTCACTCAATAAATTATATCCTAGTTCTTTCTGTTGTTCTTTTCTCTTTGTGTGATGTTCCAGGTTTCTTTTTCTTCTTTTTGTCTGTTTCATAAATCATACTCTAATCTGCAGGATAGGAGTAAGAGTTTGTGATTTTTTTATATTCCCAGGTGCTAGCACTGTGTCTTATAGGATCTCAAGAACTGGGCGTTGATGATATATACCAGCTGACAATCTGAAGTAAAACATCTCCGTTAAAATAAATTCTAACCTTAATGAAATGTTTGAGTTTGGCAGATGAAAATTTTCCTATTTCCCAGTAGACTGAATTAAGAATTATTTTTTTATTGTAGTACAATTGCTTTGTTAGTTCTTTTCTGTTGCATATAACGAAATACTTGGAACTGGGTACTTTGTGAGAAAACAAAATTTGTTGCTCATAGTTTCAGAAGCTGAGAAGTCCAAAGTCCAGAGAGCACATCTGGTGAGGGTCTTGGTGCTGGTGACAGTGACCCAGGGGTCTCACATGGCAGAAAATGGTGTAGCAGAGAGAGACTAATCTCTCATGTGCTCTTCTTTTAAAGCCCTCAAAACCACACCCATGACCACCATTATTAATCCATTCACTGCTGCAGGTCCTACAATCTAATCACCTCTTCAAGGCCCCACCTTTCAATTGCCATAATAGGATTTCTCACTCTCAGCAGTTACAGTGGGAATTAAGCTTCCAATACATGAACCTTGGAGGGACACAATTCAAGCAATCTACAGCAATCACTTACTACACCATAACTTGAATTTTAGATGAATAATTTTCCTGGTAATTAAAATATTATGTGTGCATAATATTTGCCATAACATTTATCAAATCATTAATTTTTATAGAATCATAGAATATTTCAATTGAAAAGACTGTGGGAATTCTTATTTTATGAATGATAAAAATAAAACTAAGAGAAGTTAAGTAATGGAAGAATCATCACTAGGATGTAGGTCTCCTTGATAGAAAAATGGCCAAAGTAAGAGATAATACATCAACAAAATACTAAAAGAAATCATAAACTTTTGATAAGATGAAGGTGCAGTTTTTATCATCCTAATCTTCTCAAGTATGGAAATGGTAATATAATTCCTGAAAAATCTTATAGGCCAACTAAACAGAAAATCCTTCCACCTGTGTTATATATTGAGTCACAGTTTAGATAACCTGAAAACTGAACAAATAGCAAAGTAGAAAGTTAAAGTGTCAGTGTGCATTAACGTTGCCTTTATTTATTATTACGAAGTTATTTGTTTTGTTTTCTTTTGTTAGATACTTAATTCGTCCAGATCCACTGGCATACCTTCCAAACAGTGAACCCAGTCGGAAAAACAGCATCTGCAATGCCACTGGTCAAGACTCTCGGGAGGAAACTCAGCTTTGATAAAAAGAAAACAACAGACTTTTTTTTCTCTACAAGGATCTTGCTTGAAACAAAAGTGTTGCTGCCATGAAAGAAACTAGATTGGAATATGTTCAATTCTCTCATATTTAAAAAGAAAAGTTATTCTCTTAGAAGTATAGATCATTTCGAAACTTAATGTAGTACTTATTGGTACTTCCTCTATTAATATTTGAAAGACACCAATGGAATGATTTTGAAAACCCAAATTAACACACAAAAATTTAAATCTGATATTTAATTGCTTGACAATTATGCAAATTGTATAAAGTCAAATTTTAAAATTATTAAGGTTTTATGGAAATCAACTAAAAATCTAAGTATATTTGGTGCATCACAATGGACATAGAAGATTGTTGCTCCTCTTAAAAGTTAAATGTGCTGTATTATATTATTTAAATTTACTGTTTTATAAAATGAACTCATCATAAATGTCTAGTCTTCTCCGCATAGAGATTAATCGACTTTTGTGGCTGACTTTTGTGTAAGAATCATAGTTTGCTTTAGAATGCAAATCTTTAAGTCACTTTAACCTTTTTTTGTCTGACTTTTCATATGATATCATATTCATTATAGCATTTGAGATGTTCATAGCATGTTTTATGACATTGAAGAAACTAGAACATAAACAAAAAGAAATATTAAGTACCTGATCTTTTTGATAACTTTATGTCTAGCACACATTTTATGCCCAAAGTGTACTAGAAAGCAGAGTGTACTATTGTTCACCTAAAAGAATGCCTAACATAGAGAAAGTACTTAATACACATTTGCTGATTTAAATTTAATCTGAGAATTAAAACATTAATTGGATTTCTTGAAATAGGCAGTAATGATTTTCATTAGACTCTTGAGCTTTAACATTGTTCATATATCTATATAGTAAATTTCATTTAAAGTATTTTAAAATTTTTAAAAAACTATGCTTTTTATGTACTATGAAGATAATTTAAAACATTACAATCTTCCCTCTGTTTTTAGTGCTGAATTAACCACACTTAAAAATATATGTTAAAAAATTTGATTAAATTTTGAAAAATCATCTATAAGAACTAATTTTAACATTTTGAGGAAAAGGCATAAAATAAAAATAAGTAATTCTTATCCTTTAATTGAATGTAAATTATGCAGAATTTGAGTTATAATTTTAAATATAAATTGACCCTTAGTGATGCTAATGCTTTTCTCTGTATTGCTTATTCTCCCTACAGAAATAAATCAAAAAGCACAAGATAATGCATAGATAGTTTACCAGGTAGTCGAAGTGTGTTAAAGTGTTCCCATGAGAGAAACACTGGCAAATTTACAAAGATATTTTTCTTCTAATTTTGTATTTTTCTTTATCTCTTAATCTGAAGTTGAGTTTAAATTTAATAAAAAATAAAACATGAGACTAGAAAAAGGCATTTTATTCTTTCTTTTTATAATGTAACAGATCAACTGAAAGGAAAATAGAATTTTGTTTTTAGAAAAGATAAAGAAAGCCTAATGTTCTCCAAATCTACCGAAATAAAAAAATAAAATGTGAACTAAAAAATTATAGCAATCGTATAATTTGGCTTAGTGAATATGAAAATTTTTTTAATTATTTTACATTACCCACATTTTAGAATAACAGGAACACCAGGAATTTCCCCTAAAGCAGAAAAGGCCTGTCTTTAGTCTTTTTTGATCACATAGAGAAGAAGAATTTATCATAGGTTACTTAAAATTGGGAGCACAGCTTAAAACTAAAAGATTGCAGGCATATGCATGTGTATATGTCATAAACATGTGAAATATATTTGAAAAACATAAATATTCACATATAAATTGTTAAAACTGAAGGCAGAATTGAACTAATACATGTAATGGAGAAAAATAATAAATATAATGAACTTGTTTTATATTTGCACGTCAGTAGTCAAGTATGATGTTTCTTTGAGTTGACATTTTCTTACTCCATTACAATTATTTTTCAGAATCAATGTGAGTTTTACAAATCTTCTACTTCCTCGCCAGATCTAAAGTTTAGTATTTTTGCATTAGGATAGTTGTCAAGACTAGGATTTTCAGCTAGGATATGATTATATTTCCTATAAAACTAAAAATTTTGTTTCATAAGTTTTAAAATAATTACTTTTGATTAAGAACATTAGTCCAAATTTACTATTTGACACAATTCAGATTTTGTTTCATAAATTTAAAAATAATTATTTTTGATTAAGAACGTTAGTCCAAATTTAATATTTGACACAATTCATATCAGCTTGCTATAATAATGATAGCTATTAGTTTACTAGATATATAGTTTATTAGTCTTTCTGTTATTTAAAGAATAAAACCGTGCTTTTAAAAGACTTAACAAACTGTTGCCTTTTAAAAATAATTTCCCTTGTTCATGAAAATAAAACATAAAGTCAATAGTCCCTGAAGCCCTCTGGGAATTGGCTCTGTTTATTGTCTATGTACCATTTTGCTACCAGTTACATTGAATTGCTTTAAAATAAGTAATAAAATTATTTCTGATGATGAAAACTCTTGGTGTTTTTTTTTTTTTTTCTGCCAGAACTTTAGTTGTTTAGACAAATCATGTGTTGAAACTATAAATTCATTTGTCACGTGTATACTTCACATTCAAAATAAACATGAAGGTGACCTCATTGGAAAAAACAGTGATAAATAAAACTGCAGTTGGATTACTTCTTAACATAATAGATCTGAATATTGGATTATAGCAGGAAAGGAGGAGGCAGGAAGGAAGGGGCGGGAGGGTAGAAATAGAAAGGAGAAAATGTGCAATGGGAAGAAAGGAAGAAAGAAGAAAAATAAAGAGGGGGAACTCATGTGTGTGCCAGAAGAAAAATATATTTTCAAAACAAAGAGTAATGTTTTCATGCACTAATTAAAGGGCCAGAAAATGACTAGTTAGAGAAAAGGAAAATAGTTTTAAATGCAAAGGTAGACTTCTAGTCCCAGTCAAATGGAGTAGACACGTTTTTCCCTATTCCTCCTGATAAGTACAGCTAAAAATTCTAGATATTATAAACGAGTAGAAAACAAACATAAGAAGTCTGAGCAGTGGCATGGAGAAGGAAGACTGACTGGGAACTAGGACTTGAGGACCAGCATGGTGGCGAGTTCCCTGGGATTCTTTTTGCCTCCTGGATATCCTGATCTGGATATCGAGAAACACCAATGGGCACAGATACAAAAGTATCAAGGAAAGCCTGCTCTCTCCATCCAAGGACTGGCTCTTGCAGCATGTGCAGCTTCTGCAGCGCCAGACTCCCGAGGCTTCTGCAGCGTGGGTGGCTTCTCCAGAGAACGCTCCTAGAATGTATAGTGGTCAGCATGTCCAGTGGCCAGAAGGTTCCCTCAGCACCCTGTCAGATGGATTTTTAGTGGAGTGCCTCCAGTGAGACATTTGCCCGTGAACAGCTTTCTCTGGCAGCCTATGTGATAGATTTCCAGCAAGTTCTGCCTGTGCAGCACCATAGTGACACCTCTGCCATTTAGAGCCACAGCTACACCATCTTCAGTGGAGCCTGGATTTCAGTTCTGGGGTCTCTTGCTAGAGAACTTTATCTCAGCCCTGAAGATAATGGATTCTCCTTAAATCTGCTATTGCTATATTATGCTCAGATCTCTTTGCTTATTACTAACCAATCTTATATTATTCCAATACTCTGTTACTGTTAATAATTCTCTATATGAAACGTTCTCTGTCCAAATCACCATGTGGTTTCTCTCTCTAAACTGGATCCTGGCTGATTATGATGCACAAATCAGCAGTTCTCTGCTTGATTAAATGTGAAATAATTGTGATATCAAAATTTTAGGACTGCAGATCTGAAAAACAGACTTTGGTCAAATACAGCATATTAAATACACCTGCCGAGAAACTTTGCAGGCAGATAATGCACTAGATCATTTGGATTTTTCTTTATCTTCTCTACTTTTTTAAATAGGATGGCTCCCTAGTCTATCCCATTTTGAGGAAGGGAGAAGTAGACAGACCAGCTTTAATTATGTAGATCAATCTAAGATTATAGCAAATGGTTCTTAAAAACAATAATTTGGCTTATAATTGAACTCTATCACCTACATTGATATCCATGGAATTGCATTTATTGCTTAAATATAAAAATGTTTTAGTAGAAACAAAACAATCATTTGCTTTTCTAAGGATAAGTAGAAATCTTTCACAAATTGTACCATAATTAGTCACACTCCAAAGAAATATATACTTACACACAAAAAATTTATATTTTCTCCTTTTAGTATTGTATACAAAATATGTTTCATTCTAGTCATGCCAGGCTACATATTTTTGTAGCTGGAAATTAAATTCAATTCCCCCCAAAAAATAATAATTCTAAATTTACAGACTGCCAAACCTGATCTGTATGTTATTGATATTCTTATAAACTAAGAAATGAGAGGATCAGAATACAGTTTAATTTTTTTTCTCTGAAAACTCTCAACTTGCAAAAGACAGTTTCTACTCTTATTACTAGATACTGAAATTGAGGTTTGTAAATACAACGCATTGCCATATAGGCACAATTAAATTATATATCAGTAAAGTAATAATTTTAGAGTTATAGGTACTTTTTACTATAGATTATTGTCCCTTCAAAAATTACATAGTTTACATTAGATGTAATGAACTCCAGATTTTAATTGAGCCCACAGACCGAGACATCCAAAAGATCTGTCTATCAGATGATTTCACAAAGAAACTGGCACACTTTGTGACATAAATATGTTAGGCAGACAGGACTGGCCACACTGAAGTAATAAACACCATAATCTCAAGTGGTTTAATATAATGAAAATTTATTTTTACTTGGAATGATGTTCAATGCAGAAAATAATCTGAAGTTTTAGGATAAAAGATTTTATAAATGTAGTCATTGGAATAATATAAATATCTAAATCTTTGGAGTAATATAAATAAATCAGAAATATTTATTACCCTTGCTAAGAATTCAAACATGGACATAAAATATGGAGAAAACAATAACAACTTCAAAAAATACTTCAATTTCATATGTTTTTGAGCCAACTAAGCTATAAATGACTGGACTTTGAATATAGAATATTTTATGATCACTTTTTAATGAAAGCTAATTCATTTTTAATGTTTCTGGCAAAAAAGCATGTTGTGAAATAACTGACATTTGTACTAGAAAACATGTTGCTAACAATAATCAGTAGCAGTGCTTGATTTATTATCACTAACTACACTAACTAAAGAAGAAAAGTTCTTTATTTTTAAGCACTCAACAACCTCCAAGTTAGTGTGGACAACCCTCATTTCTCACATCAATGAAATTAAGGTTTATTCTTTTACTGGGAAACAAGGTGCAATCCAATGTGAAGAAAGAGAAAGAGTAATCAGTTACTTCTGAGTTACTGTTGGAAACTCAAAAGCTTAAATGAACGAGAGAGAAGATTGTTCTTTGGTCACTTTGGGATGTAAAATTTTCAGGGCACATATTTTTAAAACAAGAAATCTGTTTGTTAAAAATTTTCTATTTACCAATATGGGTGTAACATTAGTTAGTGCTAACATTTAAAATCATCTAATAAGGAATTTTATTTTATTTTATTTTTTTGTCTTTTTCTGTGTCCGGCAACGGATCGCAACCCTCAGTGTCGCCCCCGTACCGGACCGGGACCGGCAACGGGATCGCAACCCTCGGTGTTGCTCCCGCACCTCGCTCAGCCAGTGAGCGGGAACCGGTCTGTATGTGGGATCCGAACCCTTGGCGGGAGCGCCACCACACTCCCAAGCGGAGCACTATAGAAGTGCGCCACCGGGCCGGCTCAGGAATTTTATTTTTTGAAAAAGTTATTTTGGGATTTGGTGGACATGCTATCATTTTTTTTTCCTTGAGTTTTGCTGAAATATTGATATTCGTGGAATCTGCATGAGCAGTGGTTTAGTATTTTGAATCGTTTCTGTAATATTTGTAGTTTTTCTTAAGCAACCATTATTAAAAGGTATTGACAAGATCTGCCCTGCCTTGTAAATATTTGGACTTTTAGAGCAATTTTTAATATTAAAATAATCAAACGTCACTGACATCTTTCAATATTCCTTAACACTCTTTGTTTGCTTATTTGTTTATATAAAATAGCCACCAAAGCAATTACCAAATTCATATAACCTTGAAGTAGCTTAGTAAAGTAATTTAACATCTTTTTTGTATCATAGATAGAAGCCAATTTTCATCTGAGTCTAAAATCAATTATTTCTTTGTAATTCTTCCAGTAACATCATAGAATAAACTACAGGATGCAAATGATGATTAAGTTGGTAAACAACTTGTTTCGTGTATACAATATTGACCACTTCTGTAGA